CGGCCGGTACAAATGTAAGGAGGCCGGGGAAAAATGATTTTGGGCGCCCAGAGGCCAGAAGGGGGCCCGGGCGTTGAGCAAAAACCCGACCAGGTATTCTTGACCTCGATCGGGTATTATCCCCTGTGCATGTGCGCTGTGTTTAGAAATCCCCGACCGGGCACCTGGAATACCCGACCGGGGATTATGACCGGGGATCGCGAACGCAGGCTGTTAAAAGCCTGTTTTGTGCGTTTTTGCAAAGGGAGAGCTGGGTTTTGGATCCCAAACACCCAAGGGACGAACCAAAGAGAGTGAGGGCGATTTGAGGGCATTCTTGGAGTGGAATTGGAGGATTTCTTCATCTTGGAAGCTCGAGGAACAAGCCCAGACTTGTGACTGATCATCTGAAGATTCTTTCTCTATGGAGTAACTTCCCTTCACTTAGGTTTTGAGGAACCCTAGCTATGTTTGTTTGATTGGATGATTGTATGAGTACTCCTACTTGATAATCTTGAGTTCATATTCAATCTATGCACGTTTTCATGATTCAATTATGCTTTAGTCGAGATTATTGATTCTGCTTTGATCCTATGAGAGCGAATACCTGATTAGGTCAACAGAACACCATATATTGATAGTATTGGATCGATTGCTTTAGTCGAGGGTTGATTCACTGCTTTGTATCGATTGAGAACCTCATTCGATAGAGGGAGTCTAGTTCAGAATGCCTTGATCGGTTGTTCTAGAGAAGGATACGTCCCTCTAGGCAATCGACTAAAGAGGGTCTTGATCCTTTAGTCGAGATTCAAGGTCTAGTCAAGGATTCTCCGCATTGTGAATGAAAGTGAAACAAGTTAGAAATCATCAATCATTAATCTGGCTAGTTGCTAGGGGGAATCATACCTAAGTGACTTGCCAACATGTAATTAGATTAACTTTAACTGTAGTTTGTTAGAGTAGTTTTAGTTCTTCCATCTTAATCTGGTTTGCTAGATAATGAACTGAAGTTGAGTAATAGTAACTCTAGAGACCTGTGGATTCGATATTTATTACCTGAGCCACTAGACTGCAGTCCCTTTCATTGGTTATACTTGGTCATTGTTAGGAGTTGTGTCATAGCGAGTCAGATGACGACACAGGATTTCTTGGGTTCTCAATTTTGAGTTTTGCTTACTTTTAGATTTTTGTTTAATGAGTGTGGAGGTTGGAGTAGGTTAGCTATATTTTATCAATTATCGGGGCCGGAATATGCCTATCGGCGCCGAAATCCGGTCACTGACGGTCGTCGGAGTTTGGTCAATGGTTTTCGTTGACCGGTCAACGATCACCGGATGTTATGGTCTGCATTGTGAGATTTATGGTTTGGTTTCTCATTTTTTTTTTTTATGTCTTTTGTGGTTTGTTTTATCGTGTTTGTGGTTTGCATTAAGAAGTTTCTGGTTTGCTTTTGAAAATTTTGTGGTTTGCATTGTGAGGTTTCTGGTTTGTTTTAATATATTTGTGGTTTGCATTAGAAGGTTTCTGGTTTGCTTTTGTGGTTTGTTTTACCGTGCTTGTGGTTTGCATTAGGAGGTTTCTGGTGTGCTTTCACAAATGTTGTGGTTTGCTTTGTGAGGTTCGTGGTTTGTTTTAGGAGATTTGTGGTATGCATTAGGAGGTTTCTGGTTTGCATTAAGAAGTTTATGGTGTGCTTTCGAAAATTTTTGGTTTTCTTTGCGAAGTTTCTGGTTTGTTTTAATGGATTTGTGGTCTGCATTAGGACGTTTCAGGTTTGCTTTTTTGTTGTTTTCTTTACGGCGTTTGTGGTTTGCAATAAAAAAAATTGATTTGCATTATGGTGTTTCAGGTATGTTTTTTATGGTTTGTTTTATCGCTTTTGTGGTTTGAATTATGAGGTATTTGGTATGTTTTAGAGAAATTGTGTTTGTGGTTTGCATTAGGAGGTTTTAGTAGGGGTGGGCATTCGGTCGGTTCGGTTCAAACCGAACCGAAATTATGCATACCGGGTCCCCGAATTCTATCAAACCTCAAACCGAATTCGAATCGAATTACAATTCGGTACGGTCTGTTCAAACCGAATTATAATTCGGTTTGGTTTTTCATACAAAACCGAAATAGTGAGGTTAGCTTGTATCTTCTCTTTTTTAAATTATTTTTCACCCCTAATGTAAACAATAAATATGCATCATCAATGATAAAATCAAACATTTCAACACATAAGTCATAAAACACTAACATGATTCAAATATTTTAGTCTCATAATAAGTTGAAACATAAAAATCCACCATTTAGAGCTTGCAATTATAATAATTCGGTTTTTCGGTTCGAAATTCGGAAATTCGGTTCGGTCGAAAGGACCCTGGTTTTCCGAAATATGCCCTTTTCTCTTCCGAATTCCGAACCGAATAACATTAATTCGGTTTCGGTTCGGTTTTACCGAACCTTATGCCCACCCCTAGTTTTTAGTGTGGTTTAGAAATAGTAGTGATTTGCTTTGTGGTGTTTCTGATAAGTTTTAGGCGATTTCTGGTCTACATAAAACTGCAGTATTAGTGCATTGATAGTACCAAAAAACAACATATTGAAGCCTTGTTTACACTGCCAACAACAATACTCTCGTACCTAGATGTAGCAACCAAAAAATGAAAAAAAGGGCGGAGAAATTGCGAAGACAACTGAAAGGAAATTTTCAATGATTTTGAACAACTAGAAGTAAATCGAAGATCATTTTGAATACTGATTTTTTAGGAGTCGATTTCATAGCATGAGTTGTGGGGGTGTTCAAATGGTTACCATGGTAATAACCAAACCAAATAAGTCTAAAATCTATTAACCATGGAATACAATATCATAACCAAACCGTCCAAACTAATACAACAACCAAATTAACCAAACTAAAGTTTATTCGGTTTGGTTAATTGGTTAACCAAAATAACCAATATAACACCACATTATCATTAAGTAAGAAAAATTTTCAGTTAGTGCATCAATTTGCAATTTATATACTGAACAACACATAACAATCCACATAATTATAGTTAACCCTTAACGTAAATACATGTAATAAATACAGTTATCTTACGTTTGACTCTTGAGTGGTTATGCAAAGTATTAAGTATGTGTATATAATATATATTAGATATATGACAAATTACTTAACTGGTTAATTTGGTTTGATTGGTTAGGAGTGCCTGAAACCAAACCAGACCACTTAAACCAAACAAGCTAAATTTTTTAACCAAACCAATTATCGAAATTAACCAATCCAAATTAGCCAAATACTACTGTTTAAAATGGTTATCATGGTAACCAAAACGTTTGAACACCCCTAATGAGTTGCGTTTTTCCTTTTTTTATAACGAATTGTGTTCATGAATCATCAAAATGTGATAAAAACTTATGTTGTATGTCCATTTTTTATTTTATTATTTTTAGTGATTGAAGAATTTGAATTTTTCATGGTACCAAATAAAAATGGGAGCAATTACTGTATAACATTGATAATTCATTCAACCAACAGGCCGTTTCAAATCTAGTTCTATATTGAAAAAATTATATTCAGGAATCCTTTAATATAACTAGCTTAGTCTCCACTATCCAGCCCATTGGTCAGAATCTTTTGTCATATAGATAAATTAGTTTTAAATTATTTTGAATCTTTTTCAAATTAGGTTTTGCAAGCAACTTTATATTAACATAAGAATTCACAATTAGATAATTCATACTCAACTAAAAATTAAATAGTTTTTTTTATCTAAAATCTAACATGAGTTAATGCACATAACGGTAAGCTACAGCTAATCGACCCAATTTCTAACCTCAAGCAGCATTACTCTCCGACTCAATTGGACTCGGCCGAGTTTCGCACTGTTCAAATTAGCTCCTCCTTCTGCCTCACAGATCGGGATGGATTCGCAGCCTTCGAGGTGAATAAAGTCGTCGTCTTTCCCCACTCTGCAGATCCCCTACCTCAACACTGTTTAACCACTACACTGACCCCGTTGTTGAGAAAATGGCCTATGCACAAGGACTTTTATATAGACAGATAGGAGTTGGTCAATTGATATTCTATAGGATCTTCCTCTATTAGGCAAACTCAATTCAGCTTCATTGGCCAAAAGGGGAGATGGAAGAGGGAAAGTCTGCAGGTTCCCACGACGACCCCATCATATACAATACTCGGCGGTACTATATGTTAATTGCACCCATCAAGTTGCTCTGCTCTGCTCACTTGCGCCTGCTTACTGTTGTGCTTTGTTAATTACGACGTCGGTGGGTATTAATTACGACGACATAATCATCCACCGAGGTCGGTATCACGTCGTCGGCAGATTTGAAAAACTGTTTGTGATCGATTCGTCCCTGAAATTCGTGGAACCCTGCTCAGCGCCGCAGCTCCCTGACGGCGGCGACTCCGGCCAGAAGAATCTAGTGGAGTCCGGGGAAGATTTGTATTTGGTGGATAGATATTTGGATGGGAGGAGGAATTGGAAGGATGTGGAGGATGCGATTGCCAGAAGTTTTCACCCAATTCGTCGCTTTGTGGGTGAGGGGAGAGGCGGGAAATGGCACCCCAGAGCGGGTTGGGCAATTAATTGGGTTTAGGGTCAATTAATTGGGTTGGTTCGCGGGTTCGGCAAGAATGGCTGACAGGGCGGATAAATATGACGTGGCGGGTCGGGTCGTCGTTTTTTAATGTTAAAATATACTGATTGTGTCTTTCTGTTAGCCACGTCATCACTTAACGGTTGTCATTAACGGAGTCTAACGGAGGTTAACGGAGAGTGACCGAACTTGGACTATTCAACTAATTCGAGTGACTATAAATGGAATAAATCAATTTGAATGACAAACGTGAAATTTTTTAGCAATTCGAGTGATCAAATTTTCAAATAAGCCTATTATTGATTCTACCAATTGGTCTATGCCCTCCCGAACTTTATAAATAGCCCCGTAAAAGCAGAAAAGAATGTAAGTTTATAAGTGATTACACATAATCGATTGAGGGAGTTGTTGCTTTACTGCTGTTTTGAACCCAAAACCTGTTGCTTACGCAGCACACGCCCGGAAACTACACGCCTGGCAACCCTTCGTGCCTTGGATTTATTGTCCGTCAACAAGAGACTCTTGGCTGGAGCGAATGCCGCATCTCTGAATCTGAGGCAGGGCTTTGTTGGATCACTACTACTATTAAACAGAAAGCCGAAGCTGTCCTTGTCCAACTTTGGAATTGGAGTATCCCAGCTAGAAACCCTTGGCTGGAACTCCAAAAAGTCAGGTAACCCTCCTCCTGCTGCTAGTTTAGCTACGAAATCTACCTCCCCGCTTGTCAAATCACAGAACAACACAGCGTTGTTGTTATCTTCATTGATGCTGCTGGCACAGTTGAAGAAGACGATTTCCGGCTTCTGTGGATGCATGAAAGGTTGGTTGATGAACTTAGCTCTACAGTTACCACAACACTTCGACGCCTTGTTCACCAGCCCCTCGCATTGTTTCTTCCAAGACTTGCGGTCCTCTTCCAGCCTCCAGACGCTCAAACGGAAAGGCAGGTCTTCTCTTTGCCGTGCAATTGCGTGCAGCGCATCTTGAGAGAGGGCAATAATCCACTGCGATTGCGCGAGGAATGAAGATGGAACATCAACGGAAGTGGGAGGCACGTCGAGTCGGAAAGGATCGAACACCGCCAGCACGGGTTGAAGAGCAAACCGATGGTCAACTAAGTACATCCAAAACAACTCCCCATTCCACGAAATCAATTCTGTACGTTTGATATGATCGTCGCGGACAAGAGCATCCTTGATCCATTCTCCAGACTCGGAACAAAACACATCGAGTTTGATAGATAGTATTGGGTCGACCTGTTGATACATACACACCACCCGGAACCGAGAAACAGGTTGTTGGGGTTCCAACACTAACCTTGTCACCGGAGCAAGATGCAACACCAACTTCTTCGGTGCCAGAGGAAGAGCAGCCCACTGCTTCGTAAACGGATTGCAGACCAAGTAGGATCTGCTGCGTTCCCCGCCGTCGACCAATCTATGTTCAACCCAAAACCCGCATAAAACCAAGTCTCTGTTGCAATCCAAAACTTTCAAAGCGTCCCCAACTTCGCTCTCCATGGGAGGGAGAAAGCTGAGGATCATCGATTTGAGATCGTCGGGGCTCATAGTCTGGCGGTGAGAAACGTAACGGCGATTGAAGGAGGTATGGGAGATGACGGACCTCCACAGCTGGCAGACGAGTTTGCAGTGGCAAGCGGATCTAGGATTGGGGAGGCGAATCAGAATCTCTAGGAGAAGATCGAACCCGAGTTTGCTGTTCATAAGGCTTGCATCTGACCTGATTGGTCGTTTTCTTCCTGAGAGGCCAAAGAGTTTCCCCAGCGGCAGGTGCAGATCCCAATCCGAGGTGCAGATCTCGGTCGCCATGGCGTGGACAGACGGATTGAAGGAACGCCGGCGACCAAGGAGAAAGGAGTTTGGAGGTAGGAGGAGCTTGGATTAAAACGGAGAAGCCTGCCGGGAGAGCGAAGAGATCTGAAATCTTCTTCTTCCTTTTTTTTGTTTATGGGCATAAGAAACCGACCCCTAATGCTTTACTCCTTCTCCTTTGCTGCTACGGCGGCGGCTGCTACTGCTAAGTGCTAGGGAGTTAAGTGGCACAGACACTTTTTTCTTTTTACTTCTAGCTCCTAAGCGCTGCCGTTTTTCCCTCCTAAGCAACCCTAGAAGACTACTTCATTCGGCTGCCATCGTCTTCCTCTCCTCCCACTTCGGCTGCCATCCGCCACACCCGCCGCCATCATCTTCCTCTCCCTCCAGCCTCTCCTCCCACTTCCTTCTATCTCTCGCTCTGCCGCCAACCGCCATACCCCGCCGCCGTCATCTTCCTCTCCCTCCATCGTCTTCCTCCTGCTAGAATCAGAAGAGTCCCTTTGAGAGCGAGGCAACCGGCGGCGATTTCGTCAACCATGGAAGTGGAGGCTCCAGTTCCTGCTCCAGCGCCAGTGACTGGTCCGGTGGAAGTCAAGTTATTTAACCGCTGGAGCTTCGATGATATCCAGGTTCGAATCATTTTCCCCTTCGTTCTCGCCTTTCCTCGAGTCTAGTTGGAATCACACCGTTGCTTTTCATGTCTACAATCTCCGCTGCTGAGATGTGTTAACGCGACTGAGCTCATAAAGCTGTTAGGATTTAGCATTTTTCTACCATTTGAACCTCTGCATCGAGTAGTTTAGGGAATGGGCAAGGCCTATGGATTTGCTTGGAGGTTCAGATTCTGTTCGTAGTCTAATTAGGGTTTGTACGTTTGTTTTTGTGATTTGTGTAGACCAACGACATTTCCTTGTCTGACTATATTAGCATTTTTTCCCCATTTGAACCTCTGCATCGAGTAGTTTAGGGAGTGGGCAAGAGTTTTGTGCCTATGGATTTGTTTGGAGGCTCTGATTCAGTTCGTAGTCTAATTAGGGTCTGATTCAGTTTGTTTTTTGTGATTTGTGTAGTCCAACGACATCTCCTTGTCGGACTATATCGGCGTCCAAGCGGCCAAGCACGCAACTTTCATCCCGCACACAGCTGGGAGGTACTCGGCCAAGCGTTTCAGGAAGGCCCAATGCCCCATCATTGAGAGGCTGACCAACTCTCTCATGATGCACGGGAGAAACAATGGTAAGAAGCTGATGGCCGTCAGGATTGTGAAGCATGCCATGGAGATCATCCATCTCCTAACTGATCTGAACCCAATCCAAGTCATCGTTGATGCTGTCATCAACAGGTCAGTGAGCTTATAATTTAGAGCGAATCGTAGTGGTTTCTTGATGAGTTTGTTTCTCAGTAGTATTTTTTCGTTTCCAGTGGTCCTCGTGAAGATGCAACTAGAATCGGTTCAGCTGGTGTGGTGAGGCGTCAGGCTGTTGATATTTCTCCGCTCAGGCGTGTCAATCAGGCCTTGTACCTCTTGACCACCGGTGCAAGGGAGTCTGCTTTCCGTAACATCAAGACTATTGCTGAATGCTTGGCTGATGAGCTCATCAATGCTGCAAAGGGATCCTCGAACAGGTTTGTTTGCTTGTCTATTGGTTTTGTGTCGACTGTTCTTGGATGCTCGGTTTGCTGATTATCCCTTCTCTGTTTCTTTCCAGCTATGCTATCAAAAAGAAGGATGAGATCGAGAGAGTTGCCAAAGCCAATCGTTAAGAGATTTGTGTATGTTTGCTTGTGTCGCTGGGAAATGCCTTGATAATTTTCCTACTGGTCCTTTAAGTCGAAAGGTTTTTTTTATGTCAGTTGTTAGTGAATACCTGGAGTTTGTTTGGATGGTGGATGCTACAGTCATTTAGTTGATACTTTGAGTAATTTCATGCTGTATCCGACTTTGGTTTTTCTGTTTATTACTGCATCCTTATTTCCTTCTCACCTTATATGCCTATGTCTCGTGGTCTGTTGGTTCAAAAGGTAGCCTATGCAGCTATGCGTGTATTTGGGAAATTAACAGTTTTGCTTAATTTTCCGACTGGTCACTTGCGAACTACTCTACACCATACAGATAGTTCTTAGTTCTTAGACAGTATTCAGTACAATGCAAAGTTGTGATTAGAAGTACGGGAAGTTGAATTGTCTTTGTGTCGCGCTCTTAGATAGAGTCTCGAACGCCATTTTAGGTAGTAGTTAGTCACAATTCGGTCTTTCTCTCGTTGTAATCCCTTGGCAATGTGAATCTCGCTCTTGTGTTTCAGAAGCTGAACTACAGTGAAGTGGGTTTTTAAGAACAAAGATCGACATTGAGTGCTGTAGTCAAGTTCTTAGCAATGTAAAGTAGACGGTGTTAAGAGCCAAAAAGTTTACCATAGTTAACCTAGGCTTGGATGTTCCATTGGCCAATCTAGCCCCAACAAAATGACCCAGAAGACCTAAAGCAAAAGACTGATCGATCATTAGCTCCCAGCAGCCACCCTGAAACCTTAAGTCTCTACGCATTGAGCTAATGAGCTTTGCTCTAAGCTCCTTCAGTTCCTGCTGAAGATTACAGAAGTCCAAGTCAAAGTAGGCGTTAAGAAGAACAAGCCCCAAAAAGGGGCCTATAACTTGAGATCATCATCAATATCTTGCTAGGACGAAGCAGATCCTGGCCTTGGCAAGCGATGACATGGATTCATTGTATGAAACAAATCATCGCGCATAATGACCACATTAGTGTGGCTTTTACTCATCGTAGGAACAACAAGTGTTTTAATTGGGTTACTAACACTATATTTGGGAAAGGGGGTAAATGGAAGGGGGGAGCAAGTTTGGGGGTAAGTGCATTTTCCAATGTATTTACCCCCATTTTGATAATAATGAATAGCGTAGGGGGCTGCAATTAGGGGGCAAACCCACTATTCTCATCAGCCCCAAAATTGGAGTGCAAATGGAAAGAGAAAGAGTGGAAGGATGGATAAAAAAAAAGTTAATATATAATTTGTTATGTTTTATATGTATGATTTTGTTCTATGATTGTTATAAATAAAAATGTCATGTAATATTATGCTACAATAATACTTATTATTATTATGATAGTAAGAATAATTATTATAATGATTAAATAATAATAATTGTTAATTTTGCATTGATTCCGGGAGACATCATTTGATTTATGATGAGAAATTTTGTCAAATTGGCTTCAACTGTTGTCTCGATCAAACAAGTGGGTCAAGATTCATCAAGTCGAATCGAGATATGTTGGTTGGCTTGGATTACCTCATCAAATAGTTAAAATTTACATATTCGAACATGTTTGACTAAGTTTGACCATATCCAATTTAAAGTTAAACTAGGCACATCAATCTTGTAGGATGGTCATTTATGGTTAAAAGCGATTTGGTAATGTCTGTTTCACTCCGATTTAACCATCATTTCCACAACTCGACTTCCGGGTGGGAGACATGAGCTAGTTATATGTCTTGGCCATGGATTGGGCTTAGAGCATACTCATTCGAGGTTGCTCGACTAATTATGATTTTTATGGACCCAATACTATTATTTATGAATATTTATAACAATCACTACTTGAGCATTATTATTTTATTAAATTATTATTTTTATATTTATCAGTATTTTTTTTTCACATTGATTTATGTGTAAATATTTTGTGATAATCTTTTATAAATTTGATATGTCTATTTTATAATAATATCATTTACTTACTTTTCACTAATTTGCACCCACTACTTTTTCATCCAAACAACAATTTACCCATCAACTTGCACCTCCAGCAATTTAGCCCTCAACTTGGACCCCCTTGAATTTGTACCCCCTATTTGCCAAACACAACGTAAAGAATCTTGAATTGGATCTCTCCCTTCGGAGTGGATTCAGATTATGGACTTGATCTCCCCTCTATTGTAATAGGCCGAGTTTGTACCTCAATCGTTATGGAATGAAATCTACCAATTGTCAACAACAAAAAATCTCTGATTTTGAGTGCGAGACTCATCAACCTCAGTCATCAACTCGTCAATTTTGTTTAAAATCCCTGGCTAACTCCAATGGAGCCTCTATAAATGGGGGAGCCTCTATATTTGGGGGAGATCTCCAAAAGGATCCCCACATTTGGGGGTGGAAATGGGGGTTCCCCCAAATATAGAGACTCCCCAAAGCCCGCCACGTGACGTTTCTTTTTCTTTTTAAGATTTTAAGAGTTGATTGGGATTTAATTAGGGGATTAGTAAGGGGTTTAATTAGATCAATAATTTTCAAGTGTTGTGTTTAAACCCAAATTAGGTCAATCATTTTTGTCAACAAAAATTTGGTCTCAAAATTAAAAAAAATTCTACCCGAAAATTTGTATTTAAAAATGATGACGAACTATACAAAAATTAACATGAATAAATTATATTAAGTCTTCGATAAGTACATTCTTAAGTAAATGGAAAACTTAAAAAATGGAGATCTCCAAATATAGAGGATGTAGCATTGGAGCAAAATAAGAGAAAATGGGGATGAACCCCATCCCCAAATTTGGGGGCTTGCAATGGAGTTGGTCTAATAGTGTGTAAGGACCTGCACACCCTTTGATTGGGCGAACAAAGATTAAAAATAGGTATAATAGTTTGATTGCAATGAACCTTGAACATTGAACCTTATTCCTTGTACTTAGCATTGCTACCGTCAAACTACAATTAATAATGTACATTTAGCTTTTTATCTAGAAAAGGATTCGGAAGTTAATGTCAGAGACCTCCAATGGCATCAGCATGAGAATGAGTAATAACAACCGCATCAATTGTTCTTAGCCTGACAGAAATTTGAAGTCGTTATATGTGGGGAAATACCGTACGAAAGTGCATAGACAAGACAATAACGAAGGAAACAGGCAAACAGTCAGCTTCGCTCATTGCAGATGCATGAGAACTCTAACCAATCTAAATCCTTCTCAGAGCTAAAAATGGTTTATGTGCTGCTAACGCTAGATCCTTTAAGAAATTACTGAAAAAATGAGTACAAGACATTGCAGTTAGATTCAAAATACTGTTATATGCTGAAAGGTGTGTAGACTCTCATCCATCTAATACATGAAAATTCATGGCCATCTCTAATTAATCCATGAAAATTTATGGATAATTTACAATTTTCTTGAATTTTCTAGATTGGTGTTGAACAATTTGTATAGTTAATTTGTGATTTGCTTGAATTTTCTAGAATGATGTTTTATATATGGATAATTTGTATTGATAGATTGATATTTGACTTTAATTTTGATAGGAACTTGTTATTGTAAATTTTTTACGACAAAAACCCGTGGGTACCCATGAACCCGCGAATACCCAGCGAGTTGGGTTTGAGTTTTTCAAACCCAATGGATTTTACCCCGGGTTTTTTTCACGGATAAACCCATGAGTTTGGGTTTGGCAAAACCCGACCCATTGCCATCCCTAACCCTATGGTTTGTGTTTCTGCCGCCATCAGACCATGTGGGGACGCAATGGTCAAATTGACCGTTGGATCCCCCCAGCGATCCAACAGCTGACCACCCGCCTTGTCAGCGATTCGCGTGACTGCACTCTCTACCTGCGTATTTACCGCAAAAATCATCATCCCACCACGCGGTTTTCGTTTGAAAATCAAAAACTGTATTCCCCACCCACGGTTTTCATTTTCCTTTCCCACCCAAACCGCTCTCCCCCACGGTCTGATGGCTATAAAGCCTCTCTAGTCTCTCCCCTCTTAATTTTTCCAACACCAAACCTTATCCCTTATCTCTCTCTCTCTAGCATTTTCTCTTCACCCATTCCCCCTCCACCCAAAACTTAAGAAATTATCGTATGTTAATTTGCGGCTAAGTCTGAATGCCATCAGAAAACAATTCTTGACTTTTTTCCTCAAAACAAGTCGAATCTCTATCTGCCTTCTACAAAAAATGGACCAAGATCGGTACTACCAAGAGGATGGTTATGATGATGACTATCAAGCGGTACATACTCATTCTTCTCTTTATTTTTGTTCTTATTAATTCTTGTTAACTAATCTATATACTAATTAACTTCTTTTGTTGTTATGATATCGTAGGTTGGGGCGGACATAGATATATATGATCAAAGATATTATCTTGATCAAGAACATCATGATGCATGTCTTCTGTACGACCAAACTAACCATTGTTCAAGGGATGATTGGAACAATTTGCTGGTACGTATAATTCTTCAACCTTTGTCATAGTTTATTTTTTTAACATACTTAGTGGTTTATAATATAATTTTATAAATAATTAATCATATGATCATTTTCAATTATTTGGGCTAATACAATGTGACAATTACTTAGACTCTCTATAAAGAGATGCATACATAAGAAAATTGGGTCTTAAGCGATCATCATGATCCTTCCATTTCCTAGGTAAATCGGGTATTAAACAATTCTTGGATACCCCCTTTTCTGTAAAAAAAAAGTTGTGTTTCTAAGGAGATGCATATCTCTCCTAAGAGTCTAACGAGTTCACTTGTATTGGCTTAAATCATTGAAAACAACCAATACGATTTACAAAATAGTATAGTAGATTTATGTGTATGTGTAAATATTTCTAAAAATCTCTGGTATTCATATTGTCAATTTCAATGGTTTGGTATAATGTATTTATGTGTATATCTTTCAAATACTATTCATTTTAGTTAATTGAATTTGTTTGTTATAATTAATTTATATGTATATCTTGCTAATGATATTTATTTTTGATCATTTCAATTGTTTGTTATAATGAATTTATGTGTTTATAAATCATAAACTTATTATTTTAATTTATTTGCTAGAATGCACACCATATTATCCGCCATAGGAGTACGAGCAATGTGCTCCCATTTAACGAAAACATCTTGCCCTATCTCAAAAGGGCAATGTTGCAGACGATGAGACACTTTGTTGGTATCAAGATCGACAGTCAACTCATCACATCATTGGTGGAGAGATGGCGCAAGGAGACACACAACTTCAACTTTCGTGGATTTGCAATCTATATTGGTCAAACAATCTATATGTCATTATCTATATTTGCAATCTATATGCCATTATCTGGATTTGCAACATCAGGCCCTGGATTTTGTGGCCCAATTGGTCCACATAACAAATTTGCTTATCATGACCTGCGACTTTGCATAGGGAACAACGCCTTGGCCCTCAAGGTGGTCTTCAGATTGATCCACTCATTGGGAATCCTTTTTACCCTCGACCGCCTCGGTTCACACCTCTGTCCGAACGATGGGGTGATCACCTTTCCTTCATACAATGGCCAGTCAGCTTCATCTGGCAATGAACGGAAACTCTTTCTATAGGAGCTCTTGAGTGAGTCGATATTGAAGAAATGACTCACGAAGTGAAGAAGGTCTTTTCTTCTAAACTTGATTACGTCCATGGCATGAGAACAAGGCAATCCTCTCCCCTGATACTTCTATCAGGAGTACTCCCCTTGTTTTGTCCTTAAATTCACCTTGACTTCATGGCGATGCCCCCCCCCCCCCCCAATGTATGCCATCCTCACCCTGTCTCGACTGTATACTCGCTAGCATCTCCATTCATGATGATGACCCTATGTCGACTGCTCTTGTGTTTGTATTTGTCCATGATTTCTACCGCCTTATCGGAGTGGACCTTACCTTGTGCCTCCTTCGCCCTTGCCCAGTGGAGTCGATTCAAACCATCTGTTCGTTCTCCAGAATGTCATTTCAACAATGACAGAGCTTGGCAGTGCACGAATAGCCTTGTAGGCGGAGTTGATACTTTCACTTGAGTTCCTTGTGGCAATACCCCATCTTGTACTCTGTCCTTATGAAAATTCCACATGGATTGGTCATGTCCATCAAGTCACTGCGAGCCTGTAGGGCTTAGCTCACAGATCTTCTGCAACTTCTACTTGAATTTCTTCTCTTGGTAGGAAATAGCTGATGGACATACATAAGCGTATGTTAACTTTTATGTTCAATGATTCAAATCTAACATAATTTTACAAGGAAATAGAACTCTTACCAGTCAACCACAGATTACCAACAAGCTTCCTCCGCTTGATATGATGGTTCCAATTGCTCTTGAAGTGTCGTATGCACCACCTCTGGGACCACTTTCACGTTGGATCCAAGCCTAAGATGACATCTCTGATCCCGGAGTGGTGATCAGAGATGATTATGAGGTATGTCCTGTTGGTGCGTGGAAGTGAATTTGTTGGACGAACCATCCCCAACTTTTATTTGGTATTCTCTACCTCAGCAATGGTGAAGACTATACAAAAGATACCCTAGTTGGCATCCACTCCATTGGCAATAAGGAGAGTGCCCTGGTACTTGCCGGTAAGGAACGTGCCATCCACTTGCATAATCAGGAACATAATGGAAAACCATCAATACATGAGTTGAATGACCAGAAAAGGTGTTTGAACTAGCATTTGTTACCGGGCTCCAACCGCTGAATTTCTTCATCTTGATGGTGTGGACAGAAAATAGTGTCAGGGTTAGACTTCTTCAATGCCAAAATTAATTTGGGAAGGTATGCATATGATTCTTCCAAGTGCCAAACACGACGGCCATGGATTTTCTCTTTCCATGCCACCACTTCTTATAGTTAATATGATATCCATAACGTCTTGAAATGTGGGGGATGACGGTTTTCACCTTCAGTTCGGGTTGTTGCTCAAGAGGTGCTTGATAGCCGCGACAACCACCATGGAAGTCAATTGTCGTTGGTCTTGGGATGTTATGGATGACACACATGTGTGAGTGTTCACCGCACGGGTGATGACCCAATGCCCGACTCTCTTGCTCCCGATGGCCCAGAACCAAGCTTTGTATCCCTCATATTGATTCTGGCATCTAACTATGAGCCTCCTCGTATCAAAATATGGTGTGTGCCATTCAAAACCCCGATTCATTGCTTCAGTGTCAACAACGATTTTCGAGGGGCGGTTGCGATAGTGGCGACTCCTCAGCGGAGTACCGCCCCTCGAAAATTGGGACTCGTCACGATTCGCTAGAAGTCGCCATCGATCTTAATTGTGGTGGATCGAACATCTTTTGTCTGGTTCCACCCTTAGGGTCAGAACCGGGATTTGGTCTGCGAGTTTTAAGATCCTAAAACTTGAAGGATCTCCATCCCTAACACGCGTGATTAAGTATGAGATCAAGATGGAAATAGGGTTTGGCTTTATGCCATTGAGTTTCATTATGCATTAGGAATATACCAAAACCATCTATAGCATATGCATATCTAATGACAACAGCATATGCATATCTAAGGACAACAGCATCTGAGATCTGTTCCTTTAATAGCAAGCCTAGTTTTCTAACCGACTAAATCATACATGAAGGGAGGAATGATCTTTCTGTTTTCTTACTTTCTGTCACTCATCATTTGATTGATGAATGATGGCAGGTCGGGAATCGGCTAAATTCTCAGGGATGAACGCATACAACTTGTATACTGATGTCATGTTTGTTTCTGCAGGTTTGGAGTTAATAAATCTTTGAATATGGATGGATTATTTCATCATTAGCATGATCCATGCAAAAGTTTGTTACTTTGAGGATGATGATTGTGTTGATTTAGTCACTTTGTTCTCTCTTGGCAGGAATCCCTAATACTGTTGGCCTCTTGACAGAGACATGGTTTCAGTATTCTTCAAAGGAAATCAAAGTTATAATCCCTGTTCTTATGATGTGCAAAATGTGTAACATGGATTCATTTGTTTCCTTGTTTATACAGCTTGCGGGAACAATTTCGACTTCAATGTTTGATGGATAAATATGGCAGAAGCCCTCTTTTACAGTTGCAGCTTTTAACTTATAGTTTTGGTTTTTTGGGTTTACAGGTTGCAGTTGCAAGTCCGTCCGCAGCGTCTCATTGCTGGGGAAAAAGAGTTTGCTTCGAATAATGAGCAAGAATCAGCTGCAAAAGAGCTCCATCTTTAGACAACATTCCATCATGGACAAAATCAATTTAATTTAGTTCTTAATGATAACATTGTGTAATTGTGATTTTAGATGCAAAACAATTTTTTTTTAGATGAGATATGATATGAAATAATTTTTTTTTATTATAATTCAATATAATTTTATAAATTTTCTTTTTAATGGCCAAAATCTTATGGACAAAATTGGTTATATGAAATTATTTATTTGGTTGGCTTTTATGTGTTTTCCACAACCAAATTTTATGGTTGTGGTTTAACTTAATAATCAATAAAAGTGGTCACCTAAAACAATATGATTGGTCGGGATTTGGATTTTTAACGACCAAATTTTATGATTGTATAAGAATTTCATAACTAAACTGATTAGTTGCACAAAGTTATATTATTGGTCAACATATGAATTTTTTAACACCAACTATAATGACTAGTTGTGTTAAAATATATTTACTTCCAAAATTATAGGTCACTAATAGCTATACCAATTTGTACAACTTTATTATTCTTATTCGTTATTAGCTATAGCTAGTGATAGAGTGCCACTTGTCCCATTTTAGATGGACAAGGCTGTTAGTGTTAGTTTGTGCTGTAGCTGCTGCCAATGCAATCAGAAAATCATTCCACAAAACCACTCTTGTTAGGATTATTCTCACTCTGTCCTCTCTCCTCAGAAAAATCGAGAGAATCATAGCAATTCTCTCCGCTGGGTTTTCTATGGCAGATCCTAGGGAGATCCGTACCTTCTTCCTCCTGCAGTCCTGCTTCATCTTCCTCCTTCCTCAGTAATAGCAGTCGTAGCGGGTCGGCGTGCTAGGGAATTGGCCACAGCGGCCTAATCCGGCTCGTGGGGTTCTTTTTCTTTCTCGACAGTCGACATCAGGTCGGCGGAGTGGGGAAATGGGAGCGACGGCGGGTTGGGGAACGACAGCGGTGGTGGGACGATTTTGGTGTGCTGGACGGCAATCCGAGTTAGGGATTAGTGATTGAAATTGGGTATAGGGGTATAAACGTCAATTTAGTACGATTTAGGACGAAATAATTTAAATTTTAAGGCGACGAATAACTGAATGTTCTCAATTGACTCAATGGCTAATCTGTGAATACTACAAAATATCTATGACCATCAATGCAATTAGATGAAGACAGTAATAAATTTCAAGCTAATACCAAATAACACCAAATTGGGTTATTGTTAAGATGTGAAAGAAGCAATTCAGCCACATTCTGATTCATCAAAAAGTCAGATTCAGCCACATTCTAGAGAAAAGGAAGGTCGAGATCTCCTGAGCAGTAGAGTACAATTCAAACGTAAAGAGGATGTACATCAGCAGCAGCAATATAGTCTTGGTTCTTTATTTTGCTTGCATTTTATGGATCTGAAAACTATAAAGGGTACTCTAGGAAAGATTTACTGCTATACATGAATTCATGAGCTCCATCAGATGGTCCATCATCGACCCCCTAGAATCCACTCGACGAGTAAAAACTGACGGACAAAGTTAGCACCATAATTTGTTTGCACAAGGTTTGCAGCAACCCAACGATAATATAACGACCGCAAACATGGGAATTCGACATTTCCATGTCCGATTCACCAAGAGTATAAAGATCTCAACTTTACAGTGAAGGGCAAACCATTTTCTCGGGATTAAGATAGGCTTTCTCTCTGTGCCTAATGAATCACGCTCTCATCGATATTGAACCGGAGGCTCTCAATGCCTCTAAGAGCTGATTCCAAGTTCTTACTGTTCGAGTTGCTGTTTCTTGCTGTGGAAGGTACAGCTTGAGTGGAGTCATGAGTACTTGCTATTGCAGGTCTTCTAGTAGAGGAGCTAGTTCGCATATGGTTTGAGCCAGATAACTGCATAAATCCATGTTAGAATGGAATGATCATCAAGAATGGAGGGTTGAATGCTGAACTTTTTGCATCTGGCATTCATACCGGAGCATCTTTTGCATCATTGCCGAGAGGGCTCTTTAGCTTGGATAAAGTTGCCGAACTTAGAATTGGTCCTGAAGTTCTCCTTCGAGGATCGCTTGAAGACCAACCAGGTTTACTTTCTTCTCCACTCCCACCTACCCATATCCAAAAAAGTGTGATACATTCCTTATAAGCACGAGAGACAAGGCCAATAATTGCAGAAAAGCTTAAAGCGGAAGATAACAGAAAAACCTTGTCTACCAGCATTAGTACCAATAGGTGGCATTCCCGCACTTGGTCCAGCAGTGGGACCCTGCAGTCAAGATCATTAGTCAGTCAAATTACCAGGAAACACCAAAGTGAAGAAAACAGTCCAGTGACTTACAACAGCACGAGCAGGAGGATTAGCAATCTGTGACTGCTGATATTTCAATATAGTCCAGTCAAAAACATAATCAAACTGGAAACCTGGATTGGAATAAGAAAGCCCATGATTCTTGTCAAGAGTGTTCTCGCGGCTAACAAGTATGAATAAGTAAAATGAGCGATGTACATCCATGAATCGAACCTTCGCGAATGAAAAGATCACGGAATAGCCTTTTCAGGTATGCATAATCGGGCTTGTCATCGAAACGCAATGACCGGCAATAATGAAAATAGGATGCAAATTCAGTAGGGTAACCTCGACATAGAGCCTACAAGATACAAACAAGATTCAAATCAGTTAAAAAGGAAATAATCTAAAGATTAAATAAATTCAGACTTCGAATCCTAGACAAAAACTTACCTCAATAGAAGTTGACACCTTTTTTTCACTAATCTTCTCATACTTCTGCTTTTTAGTTCCAGCACGTAGTCCCTGCCAAGGAAGACTGAAGCAATATATATGGTCATAAACAAAAATAAATTATATATAATAACAAATAACTGAAATATGGAAAGAGAGTTGAGGTGTCACCTTCCTCTGAGGAAGTACATAAGAACATATCCGAGCGATTCCAGATCATCCCGGCGGCTTTGTTCTATGAAGCAAAGAAATAACATAACAATGAATATTAAATCAGCAACTAGATATTAGTATTTGCACATTTCAAGTGTAATCACTAAAACCAAATAGGCTATAATTGTAATTATACCAATCCCAAGATGAGTATTCATGCTTGCATATCTTGCAGTTCCTGTCAAATTCTTGTTCTCCCTGCAATGTTTCAAGGTCAAGTTACACAAGTAGAAGAGGCTGAAACAAGAAATAGGGGCACAAAGAGACCATGTGTGACGGCTATAAAACATCTAGAAAGAGTAACAAGTTGAACTTCATATGGAGTAGTTAACTCATGCTTTGGAATAACTGACCTGTAAGGAATGTGTTGATGAGTGGAACTGTCCCGATACTTCTTAGCTAGCCCAAAGTCGATAACGTAGACCTGAAGAGAACCAGTATTTAGACATGAGTAAACACAGAACGAATAAGTACCAATGATATCCATGATCAATAGGGACAGGTCACCAACAAAATACCTGATTGGCACGCCTCCCCAAACCCATGAGAAAGTTATCAGGTTTGATATCTCGATGTAGGAACGATTTGGAGTGGACAAATTCAACTCGATTAATCTGCAAGGAAGCATCAGAACTTCCACGTGTCAACAAAAATATATATATAAAGCAACCAACAAAAGAAGATACCAAAACCATATCCTACACAAATGTTTACCATTTGGTCCGCAAGCATGAGAACAGTCTTGAGAGACATTTTCCTACTGCAAAAGTTGAATAGATCTTCAAGACTCGGTCCCAACAAATCCATCACAAGAACATTGTACTCTCCTTCCACTCCAAACCATTTGACATTCGGAATTCCAGCTGCAAAATTCACAAGCAGCTAATATATGAGTCTCTTCCCATATAAAACTGCACTCTTCAACATTGATTATGAACAAAATAGAAACCAACATAGTAAAGAGTAGTGATTACTCACTTCCTCCTTGAAGTATTTTGTACAACTTTGATTCATAAAGCAACTGAGGATGCTTTGTCTTCACATTTTCCTGAATCATAAAGAGTAGCATATTGAATTTTTTTTTATCAATGTAAGGAGAAAGTACATCTACGAGGAAACTTCAGCAAAATCAGATTGAAATCAAGTCATCCCCATTCTAATGCCACCAGCTTCAGCCACAAAGGGCTCAATCACACTTCAGCATTCAGTGAACTCTACGTAGAAAACCCAACGGAAATTGGAACCCAGCACATGAAACCATAAAGAAATATCTTGCAGATACCCCATTTAAGTAGAACAATCAAATTGCCCAAAAAGGAAACACCTTTTAAACAACCACATCCAAAAGACAGGATCACCATTTCGGAATGCCAGAGAATGCACACCTCTCAGTACCCTCAATTTCCATTACAATGAAAGACATAGCTTATTGAACAGCAGAGAGCGAATCTCAGATACATTTGCATTGAAAAAGCAAAACGCAAACAAAAAAAGGAATAGGAATTGGGGGTTCCCAAAGAATGAAAGAGAGAACTTACGAGCTTAATTCCAACCTCCTCGTTTGTTTGAACATTAGTACCTGTGAAGGAAGATCAATAAGACAAATTCCTAAAGAAAATTTTGAAGAAAAGAAAAAGGAAATTGAAAAGGATGAATAAGAAGAAGCAAAGAACCGAGATAGATCTCTCCAAACGATCCGCTGCCGATCTTTCGACCGAGACGAAACTTGTTACCAACGCGAGGCTCCATGATGATTTCCTACCCCCAACAACCCTAAAGCTCTGTGCTTTTTCCGCGCGCGCGAACGACGGAATTTCTCGCGGAGAAAAGGATTGAAAATCAAACGAAATCCTGACCCAGTAAAGCCAATCGGAAATCCTTCCCGTTCATTTTTCTTGGAGGAAACAACCGGGAGCAACACGACGAGTAACGGTGCCGATCGAGAGGACCGACGGCGGAGCGAGAGGGAGAGAGAGAAGGGGATATTTGGTGGAATTAAACTATGAACTTTCTCTCAGTAGAAGGAAGAGATAATTTAAGAGAGAGAGAGAGAGAAGAGATGGTATAGAAAGAGAAGAGGGGCATTATTTGTCTTGGCCTCCGGTTTTCTTCCTTCAATATCTTTTTTATTTTTATTTTTCTGAACGCTCGTGTTATCCATATATTAGAAAAAAATAAACGAATTATCATAAATAAAGTGTTAGGGAAACTTTTACATAAATATTGTGCTTGGAATGCAAGATGGATGGACACATTTTCGGTAATTTATGTGTACTACTATACATGTAACTAAAGCAATTGGTGTATTATAAATTATATTGTTTAGTTTTTTTTAGTTATTATATTATTTAAATAAGTTATGTTACTTTTTTTAGAGAAATATCAATTTTACTCTTGTTTTTAATGAAAAAGAAACAACAACATATAAAAAAGTTAGTACAATAGTTTGAATAAAATATACTAAATTATCTCAATAATCTCATCTAAACACATGATCAAGCAAACAATGTTTGATTTGTTTGTGCAAAACGATGCAATGTGAACAATACAAGCATTGTAACTATCTTAACCAAACTATCAGCAAGACAAACGATATCTTAGCTCAGCATGTGTGCGTTGCATACTGACCTAAAACACCTTTCTTCTTCCTCCATATTCGTGAAATTTCTCAACCTTTCCCTTTGTTTTTTTTTTTTTTTTTTTTGTGTTCTATCATCTCTTCTCAATCTCTACCCTGAATGGTGAAAAGGTCTTCGACCAACTCCCTTGACGCTTCAGTAGGGATGGCAATGGGGCGGGTTTAGGGCGGGTTTGCCTAAACCATCCCCATCCCCATCTTCAAATACCCAAACCCATACCCGCCCCATACCCATGTGGGGGAATGTTTTGCAAACCCATCCCCATACCCGTGGGTTTCGGGTATCCATGGGTAATACCCATCCCTGTACATCCAACATTATTATACCTAAAACTTACAAGAAAAGTTTTAATTATAACCATAAAAAAACCTATTATATCATGAAGTCAACAAAACACGGTCATTTTCTAAATACGATTCAAAGAATATGATCATAAAACATCCATTAATACATAATATAGACCATAATATTTTTTAAATCATTATGCTCTAACTCTTGATACATATATTAAGTAATAATTAACTAACATAATCTTGTTGAAAAGGGGGAAAGTGAAAGAGTGGAAGGAGAATTGAGAGAAATGAATTAGGTTTTGATTAAGGTGGTTACTCAATTGCATTTTTACTATATTTTTTCTCGAGTTATCATCATCATCATTGATAGATTACAATTGAATCCACATATTTTTTGATATGTGAAGAAATTCTCTTGGTGGGGCGGGTATGGGTATGGGTATGGGGCGGGGGAGGCTAAACTCATACCCGCCCCATACCCATCAAACTTTTGCGGGTTTTACCCATACCCGGTCAAAGCGGGGATTCCCCGCGTTGACTGGGTCGGGGGCGGTCGGGTACCCGCGGCCATGGGTTTGATTGCCATCCCTACGCTTCACCATCCTTCATCTAGTTCGGCTCCCGCATCTCTCTCGTCCTTTTTGCCAGGAAAAATCTTCATATTTAGGCGAATGTCTATGACCTTTTTGAAGTATTTTGTACGTTGCATATCATGATGTGATTGACCTTGCAGACTGAGCTAAACTTGTATGCATCTTGCATCCCTAACACAACATTTATGCAAATAAGTTTCAAAACACTTTATTTCACAAGATATTGATATAAAATTGGCACTTGACTCAGTATTTTTCGTTCTTTTTATTTCTGTGTGAAGATCAAACTTATCATAGGCTTATTCCCGAAGGCTAGCGGCGGAGCAACAAGGTGGCAGTGGCGGGGGTTCATCCGCCGGTTCAGGCAGCGAGGCGGGCACGACGACAGCAACGGCGCCTGTCATGGCGCGGCCGGGACCGCGTGCACCTCCAAGGGGTTCGTCCGGTTAAGCCCCGCTTAGACCGAGCATAAGAGACGGGAAGGCAAGTGCTACCATTGTGATGAGCGGTTCACGATTGAACACAAGTGTGTGAAGCCGCACCTGATGATGCTGGTAGGACGCTGGGAGGAAGAGGCATAGGATGAGGCTGCAGAGTATGTGGATGAAGAACTGAAGGTCGACCGTCGCCCTTGAGGACAAGACCGTTTCGAATGAGGCATGGATGATAGAAACTTGCATTTCTATCTTTTGCGAATTGGACTATTTTGTCGGTTTATGATTGTTTTATGTTTGATTGGGAATTATGGAGTTATCTAATGGATTAATAATTTGGGATAGCAATGGGGAATTGTGGGATTATTATATAAGCATTCTGGTAAGTGGAATTAGTCACTAAGCTAAGCCAAGATTAAATCTAATTTATTTTCACTAATTCCCTCTCTTCTCTCTACCTCTGCCGAGTTCTCCTTCTTCCCTTTACTGCAGTCGCCGCTGCACTTCTTCTTCCCCTCCCCTTGTCTTCCTAAACCTCTCACTTCCTTCCATTTTCGACAGGACATTTAGAGACACAGATAGAAAACTCGACCTCCTGAGTTTCTATCATGAAGGCATTTGTGTGACCTAATATATTACAGTAGAATACTACAAGTAAACATACTACAAGTAAAATACACACAGGTGGGCAACCAGAAAGAAGAGTAAAAAACAAGAACAATGGTGCTACTGCTGCCGTAAAAAAGTTAGATATCAACTATTTTCTTCACATTCACAAGCTGTTAACTTGGTCCACTTTCTCGCTCTTCAATAAGCAGAGAACTTACATACACAGAACCCGAACCAGTTTTTCTCTTCACATTTTCCTCTTTCCTTTTTCCCTCCCTACTTCCTTTCCATTAGCTCAAAACCGAAAGAAAATTTTGCGAGACACTTAGATTCTCAACAAGGAAGGGGAGGCCTCGTGAAGAAGGAACCAGGAAAATTGTGCTAATGGCCAAAGAATAATCCCTAAGTAAGAAAAAACTTTACCAACCGAAAAAAGAGTTAAGAGGGGAAAGAATGTAACCCCAAAGATCGATTCACCGAAAACCCTTAATCAAGATTGTGAAGGCCTATTACTGTGCACTGCTAAAGTGTTCTTCTTCTGCAGTCTACCTTTCAAATGCCTGATCTTTGCATCAACCCTAGCCGAGAACCCGATCTTGGTTTCTTGCCTAGCCTTTGACCTTTCCCTTCTCCACATATGTTGATCCTCAACGTCCTTCTTGTAGTACTTAATCTCTTGAATAATGTGATGATCCATGGGATTGAAGCACCTTTGGAACGAAATGTGAGCTAAGTAAGGAAGGTTGCAGGTGATTGTCACCAACAAGATCGCACACCAGTAGAGTGGCGCTGGACCGAGAACTTCCACGAGGATTTGGTATGCATTTCCTGAATGGGCTGGAGGCACCATCCCATATACAAATAGGAACAGGAACCACGTTGCAATGCTGCCCCATACTAAGACATGCTGGATCCAGGTGAAGTGACTCATTGTGAGGGCGATCTGACAGTTCACGGCACAGATGATGCAGGAGAACATCGTGGTCCCCACTGCTGCCATGTCAGCAGTCTGTCCGCTGGTTCGGAATGCTTGGTTGGAGAGGATGAGGATGTTGAGGAAGTAGATGGCAAGGGAGGAGTATAGACCATTCCCCATCCAGCCCAGTATCCTGTACCAGTCGAAGAACAGGTTCTTCGGGCCTTGTTGATATAATGCGGGGAACTGCACAATACATAAGAGTTCAATCACGCGTTGCAATGATCAATAGATGTCATTGTGGAAATCGGTGACAAAATTATATTGCGAAGGACTGGAATGGGAAGAAGCATGTACCTGTAAGCAGACTTCTGAAGGAACATCTTGTTCAAAGACTCCGAGTGAGATGACTGGCAATGAGGTGAGGAGGACATTGAACAGAATCATGTACCAGTCGTCATAGATCGATTGCCCAGAGAAGGCGGTGAATGCCTCGAAGTAGAAGAGAGTGAGACCAAAAGCAATGTTCTTGTAGAAGAAATAGCAGATCTGATAGCAGGACAGATACCGGTTAAAATTCAGGAAAAAAGAAAAAAAATACAACTTGTGGCGCAAGATAGAAGGAAAGGTGACTTGGTTTATTCACCATCTGAGCTATTCTCTTGTAGCACCAGTGTCCATGGACTACTAGAAGTCTTTCCAAGAACCGGAATTGTGAAATTGAGAAATCACTCGCCATCACAGCCTGTAAAAGTTAATTTCAAGGATTCAGTGAGGCCACTTGAAATTTAGAAGCAAGATCATACAAGACACGATCTTTTCCACTGGAATTTAAAACTAAGCATTTGCGTCATTAAATCTGCTCAAATATACATCAGATTACTTTTGAGCATGCTGCATAATAATGCCAATTCAAAAGCATGAATGAAAGGTATGCTCTATATTGAAACACAGAATCAATTTCTATGGTGCATTACTCACTTGCATGCCTTCAACCCCACTGATTCCGACACCAATGTCGGCTTCTTGAATCATTCCAACATCATTTGCCCCATCACCAATTGCCAAGGTTGTTCTTCCTGTGCCTTCTTTTACTAACCGTGTTACCTGGAATCACAAGAATGGTCAGATAAGAAAAAGAATAGAGATGAGTAACTTCAACAATAATAGAGCAGGAGATGGATAGAATTACCATACCAATGCCTTCTGCTTTGGCGAAACACGACAGCATATCACGGATGCACAGTCAACAGCTAAAGCCAAGAACACGTGCTTCATATCATCCTCCAAAGCATAAGTTAGTGTCTTCCCATCGATGATTAATGCAAATGCAGCATGTGGATCTTTCTCGAGCTTGATCGATTGAGAGGCATTGGTAAGTTGGTTCAATATATTATCCTTCACAGCCTGGGGAGAGACAAAAATGAACGTCTGGCAATCAACACTCCAACACACAGAAATTTTGCACCTCTTTTGTTCAATCATGAGATACCTGATTAGAGTCTTGGGCTAAGTTATCCGAATTCATCGATGATATAACAATCTGCTTCATCCCTTGTCGAAGCAAACTA